TTTCTTCTCCCAGTGGGTGGCTTGCCTTTCAGTCCCTTCCTATGGCATCGCTTCCCATCGAGTCGATTTGGACTCCCGGCGACCCCGTGTGTGTCGGGGCAGAACTGTGCTCCATAAGCTTTGCAATGGCTGAGGGTTCACAGGTGCAGTGCCAGGTCTGTCCTCCAAGGCGTCTCGGGCTGGATGCGAGCCTCCAGCTTCTCGGCTAGTAGCTGAGCGCTCAACCCTCTGCGCTACCCAGGGACTCCCCTTCTGAAGACACAGAGTTTACTGCCATCACACAGAACAGTCTTTTCCTTTCCATTAGCACTTTTTCTGGCCCATTTCAGAAATCTTTGCTTCTGCCAAGGTCATGAAGACCTCCTGTGGGAACTTCCAGAAGCCGTATCAGTTGACCTTTTCCATATAAATCAATTGCACCTGGCACTCATTTCTGTGTATGGTACAAACTGTCACCTTACTATATTTTCACATATAACACACCCACAGAAACAACACGCACACACATATAATACACACAGTGTACATAGGGCACTAATGCACAAGGGAGTTGCATGGTTTGCAGAAACGACATAGCACGCATTTGCGTAAAAATAAGCTCGTTTGACCCACTCTCTCCCTTCCCCTGCTCTCCGGTGCTAATTTTCTCCCTAGGCCAGTGTCCATGCATGTGTAGGTCTTTCTCTGGGTTCTGTATTTGGTTCCATGGGTCAATTTGTCTACCAACACCACTATCATAATTACTGTAGGTTTGCAACAACACGGTATCTGGTAGTGTGTCTAGCTTTGTTCTTTTTCTTCCAGATTCTGTTGGCTATGGATGGTGTTGCCTTCCTCCACAGAGTATTTAATTTTGCTTTGGGTAGGCAGCTAAACTAAGAAAAATTCATTCGGTGCATTCAAGGTTTGGGCCAAATCAAAAGCTGGCCTTCAGACCCTGTGAAGCACAGCTATTTCTGGTTTACTTTTATGCCTAGGGACTAGCTCTTCAGAATCCACCTGGAAGCCTGGGGTGTCTACTGACGTCTTCTTGGTGGCCCCGCACTCCCAGTGCTGATCTCCAAGCTCCTAGAGACTCTGTCAAAAGCACTTCTCAGCTTCAACTTTAGCTTCTGAAATCAGCAATCGCCTTAAAAGGAGATGCATCCTCAAGGGTTGGGATCACTCTTCTCGACTTTGCT